CCGTTTTTTAAAACAAAATTAAATATCCGATCGTTATTATCCCATGCATTCTAATTAAATTGGAATATTCTGTGTCTCAATGAGTCAAGAGAATTCCGAATCAATTAAGATTTTTTCAATGCATCATGAATCTCTTAATTTTCCTCGTTCGCCTCAACTTCTTCTTCTTCCACAACTGCGGGTTTGTCTTCCTCATTTTCATTGCCTCCTCCATCTGCCTCAATTACCTCGACCTTCTCTTCGTTTTCCTCCACTACCTCCAGGTCCTTCTGCCCTTTATTTTCCCTCTCTCCACCCTCACCTTCTGGTCCCTCGTTCTCTAGAGTCTCTTGAGGCTGATCTTCTTGAATTTCCGGAACTTCTGGAACTTCCGGAACTCCTGAAACTTCTGGAACTTCTGAAACTCTCGGAACTTCTGAAACTCTCGGAACTTCTGAAACTTCTAGAACCTCTGGAGCCTCTGGAATCACTGAAACCTCTGGACCCCCTGCAGATGCTCTCACAAATTCTCCAGTGGCTTTCCTTTCGCTCCCCCCTCGCGAGACTCCACTCCCCTCGTCCTCTTCCTCGTACTGCCCCAAGGGCACATGCACAGAGAGCCTCCAAGAGCCCTCAGGACTGACCGGAGACACTGGAGTCCTCGAGGGAATCGAACCCACTGACTCCTCCCCGTACTCTCCATATCCTCTCCAACTCCTGGAAGCCCTCGATGCCCTTCCAACGGACGTCTTCGAGCTCTCCTTCACCACTTCCTTCTTCTCCGTCTTGCTCGATGGATAGACTAATCTGTAATCCTCCGGCAATTCCATCTCCGAGTACAATCTATCCGCAAAATACACTCTCCTCAATCTGCAATTGGCGTGAATCTGCATTCGCGTTGTCTCCACGTACTTGGTACCGTACGCACGTCGGGTAAATTCCTCCAGGTTGAACTGAACCTGATTCCAACCTGGGGAGAGACATATTGGCATTGCGATACCAAAAGGACGAATTCGTGTCACACTCTGGAAATTACTAGCTCGAAATCTTCGGTGCATGTTCTGATCATCAAGAATCTAAAATAATTCATTGATTGATTCAATTAATTATTCATTAATCCTCATAATAATTATTATTAATTTGTAATTATTAAGAAATTCATAGGTTTTTTGATGAATTATTGGATTAATTATTATGGTTTTAATAGAATAGTTTACAGGGAAAATATAAAAATGAAATTACAGTTATTTCAAAAGTGAAATATCTCTTCATATTTTTTATGATCATGATCATGAATGGAAGGGAAATTCCTAGGGCAGTTTTGGGGTTTTTTGGAGAGCATATGAATGTCGTGGAGACGTTGGTTCCTGTGATCTCCAGGGCGAGGGACACCACATCCTCGTCTACGACTCTCCTGATGTTTCCATTCTTCACCTGCAAGAATTTCCTGGCTCATTCTTCCTTCCTCACTTC